GAAGGGCTCCCCCTTATGACCACACAGCCCACAGGCACCACAGCTCTGACCCCGGGTCCTGTCACACATCCTGCTGACTGGTCTCTCTCCCCATGACACTGCGAGTAACATGAGGGTAGGGGGTGTTCACAGCTGAACGCCTAGAGGCAACAGAGGGCGGGGCACATAGTAAGTGCTCAATACACATTTATCGGATGAATGAATGCACAAGGAATGCATGAGGTGTGGGAAAAAACCTGAGTACGGGTGAACTAGTCAAGACTCCCATGCGTACAAGTACTCAGCATAGGTCACCAAGTCCTGTCTCACACACAGTGAGCCTTGTGGTGGACTCTGTCCCTCCCAGTGGCCCTGCTAAGTGCCGAGGTGGGCAGGAATCATGACTCCCTCGTCCCTATGAGTGATAGGAGATCCAGCACAGCCAAGCCGGTGATCTGGCTGCCTGCAGGCTGGGCCCTATCCTCTAGATCCTTGCCTACTGTCTCTCCACTCGCCACCCAAGAGACCAGCCCAGTAGAAGGCCTTGCCTGCGCCCTCAGGCACTAACAGAGGCCGTGACCTCCCCTCACTCCTGTCCAACCTTTTGCTTTCCCATCTCGGGTCTCTCTCAGCTCCAGCCCAAGTGGGCTCCTGTTCACAACCCTGTGCTTCTCCCTTCTACATCCCTCCTGATCAACCTGTTCCTGCTCTCCACTACCCAACACCTACTCATGCCTGGAGACCCCATTCAGATGCCACCTCCTCTGTGTAGCCGGCAGAGTCCCCTGCAGAGTTGCTTTTGTCTATGCCTCCAAAAGTATCACTTGGTAATACTTACAGAGCTTATCACCTCAAAACAAAATTGAGGGTCTAATGACAATGACAGCTATCTTTTGTTGAGAGCTTAGTCTGTTCCAAGAACTACCCTGGGGACTTTACCCACACATCTCATTTGTAATCCTGAATGTCAGGTAGGCACTTTCTCTATTTTTATTGTCCCCATTTTCCTTTAGCCTGGCAGACAAAATAGGGTAATGGCTAGGAACGTGGGCTTTGGGGTCAGTGGGACCAGGCTGCAACTCCGAAGTCTGCCATTTGCCACCTGTGCAACTTTAGGGACCCTATGTAAGCCTTTAAAGCTTCCCTCGAAGAAGGGAGAATGGACCTCCCTTACATGCTTCGGTGAGGTTAAAATGAGCTCTTGTCAATAAAACCCTTGGCACCTGGAGTATCTGTATGGGTATAGCCCTCCATAAACGTCCCTAGGAGGACCCAGGAGACAGAGGGCTTATCTGATTCATCTTTGCATCTCTAGCGTTTAGCACTGTGCTGACTTCAGCGGATGTTGCTTACAAATCTGGGGGGATGTTCCTCCACTGCCCTGCAGATGGACATCTTGGAAAGAGGTGGCCCTAGGGATGCGTGGGCCTCCTTAATCCCAACCTGCTCATGCACTCCTCACCTCTATCGAGAAAAGCACGCGAAACAACAATGCAACGTAGTGGAAACCTTACCTTCTGCCTCCCGGCCCCACCCCATACGCAGACCCGTAAAGGATGAGCATGCTCGCTTTGGCTACAGCATAAGCTACCATTTTTCAAATCTTCGTGTCCTGTGAATGAGACGCCTGTACCATCAAGTCCCATTTCCCCCACAGGCTGCCTGGTTTCCTGGAATAGGGGGGCCCAGATACTGGTTGTATGTGGAATACAAGCTCTGAGGTCTCATTTGTTGGGAGCCCTGGGTTCTCTGGCCCAATTAGGTATCAGTTACACCTGCACGTTAGGACTTGTGTGCTGAGGAGGGAGCAGGCTGCCACCACGGCACTGGAACATAGTCCTCCTAGAGTCTCCATGGGCCACCTATCTGGCTGTGGCCAACCATAAGAATCTGGTTGGGGATTCGGAAGTGTTGCTCCCAATTTCACTAGAAAATGTCGGATCTCAACCATTGCATGTGGGCTCAGCAGCAAAGTGGTTTTCCCAGAAAAGTGCTGCCTTTGACCTCGGTTTCTTAAGATCCAAGTTTCTGTTTGGATGGGATTGTAGGGTTTTTCAACATGAGTTATGGCCTCTCAATGATGATGATGATGATTGGAGGAAGTATCCTGTCACTGGGCCAACAAAACCCACTCACACCCTGCTATTTCCCAAAGCCCCTGAGGGAGGGGATCTGCACTGTGGAGATCCACGGCTGGTGTATGGGATGTTCTTGGGCAGGTAGGATCCCCTGTGTCCTCTGTAGGGTCCGTCTTCTGCCTCTCCTCACATCCGTACCGGACAGGAAGAGAGGACAGCAGGGTGGGGAAGGGGCCTGAGCTTGGTCCTATGGGTGAGGCAGCAGGTGGCTCCTATTCTGTTGTAGGAATGGGAGGTCTTCTGAGGAGTGGAGAGGTGAGACTCCCTGCATCCCGCTGTTAAAGAGGGGGCAATGGTGGGGTATGAAAGTCTGGGAACCAGGAAGCCTAAGTTCTGGGCCGAGCTCTGCATGGAAGCACCTGGCGGACCTGGGCAAGTTACCTTGTAGAAGCAGTGGTCCCTGCCTGCTATGACGGGTTTCATATGTCATAGCACCATTTCCTGGGCACGTGGGTGTATTTTGGTGAGATCCCAGAGGATCAAGAGACAGGCCGCATGCCTTGCAGGAAAGGCATGTCCACATTCATGGAGCACCTTAGACGCTAGTACTTAGCTAGGAGTTTTAGGGACAAGCACTCCAGTTTATTTATTTTATTTTATTTTTTAATTTAAATTCAATTAATTAACACATATTGCATTATTAGTTTCAGAGGTAGAGTTCAGTGATTCATCAGTTGCATCAAACACCCATTGCCCATTCCATCACGTGCCATCTTCAATGCCCATCACCCATTACCCCATCCACCCTTCCCCTATGCCCCTCTGTTTTGTTTCTTAAATTCCACACATGAGTGAGATCATATGATAATTGTCTCTGATTGACTTATTTCGCTTAGCGTAATACCCTCTAGTTCCATCTATGTCTTTGCAAACGGCAAAATTTCATTTTTTGATGGCTGAGTAATATTCCATTGTATATATATACCACATCTTCTTTATCCATTCATCTGTCAATGGACATCTGGGCTCTTTCCATAGTTTGGCTATTGTGGACGTTGCTGTTATAAACTTTGGGGTGCAGGGGCTCCTTCGGATCCCTACATTTGTATCTTTGGGGTAAATACCCAGTAGCTCAATTGCTGGGTCATGGGGTAGCTCTATTTTCAACTTTTTGAGGAACCTCCATACTGTTTTCCAGAGTGGCTACACCAGTTTGCATTCCCACCAACAGTGCAAGAGGGTTCCCCTTTCTCCACAAGCTCTCCAACATCTGTCCTTTCCTGACTTGCTAACTTCAGCCATTCTGACCCCTGTGAGGTGGTATCTCATTGTAGTTTTGATTTGTATATCCCTGACAAGTACTCCAGTTTAGTGAAGACCTTAAATAACTTAAGGAGCATCCTACATACTGCAGACAACTGAAAAGGCCCAAATGTGAACCCCAGTCTGCAAGGCCCCAAATGCAGAAATAGGAAGGCATCCTGCAGCACGTTATAGGGTCCCCAAGGCAGGCAAGGGGACACGGGAGGTGGGGTGGGGAGGCATCGCCAAGGGTCAGGGAGGAGAGGTGCTGATGGTGGTTTGATCAGGACAACGCAGCTTCCCCAACCTCCTGTTTTCAGGAGGTAGGAGGAGCTCAGAGCCAGGAGCTGGGCTTCCATGATGAAGAGACAGTCATCGCAGGAGCAGAATGTCCAGGAAGGAGGGAGGGAGACCAAGGAAGGAGGAGGTTCCTCCTTCACTCGCGTCCTCAGGTCCCCATGTACACCACGTGGGTGGGAGCGTGTCACACACACCCACGCGCCCACAGCCACACTCGTCGCGCTCCCGCCCCGGCCCACCTCCACGCGCCTGTGGGCGCCCGGCCTCAACCGGCCACGCCACCACCTGCTGCTGCGTCCCCAGTGAGGGGGAAGGAGCGTCTCCGCGCCTCCCCCATCCGCTCCTGCAGCCTCCCCACCCTCCCCGGCCAGGCTGAGGACAAGTCTTTCCCCGAGGCCCCCTCCCCAGCGCCGAGGGGGAGGCGGAGGGAGAAGCTCCGGCCGCAGCCGCCCGCCCTCCCCCCTCCCCCCTCCCCCCGCCCCCAGCTCCCCCTCCCCCCGCCCCCAGCTCCCCCACCCCTCCCTTCCCCTCGGCTGCCGCAGCCCGGTTCGTCGCGCGCGTCAGCGTGGGCTCCCCGGAGCGAGTCGCTAGGTAACGGGGTTGGCTCCGCAGACCCGGGCCGGGGAAGCCCGCGCGCGCAGTCAGCAGCCGCGCCGCGGGGCGCGGGCGGGGGCTCACGGACCCTCTCCCAGCGGGGCTGCAGACCCCGACTCGCACGCGGCCCCCTCCCAGGATGCCTTAACCCGCGCCGATCGCCACCTCCTAGGTGCCCCTCCCTCAAAGGGACCCCGACGCCGCCGCCGGCCCCCTCCTACTCCCCAGCCGGTGCGCACCGCTCTGCGCGCGGCCGGGTGGGCGCCCCACCGCCGCGGTCACCGTCGCCGCCGCCGCCGCCGGTAAGCTGGGCTCGGGGGCCGGGGCTGGGGCGGGGAGTGGGGGACGCACGCGGAGCCGGGCACCTCCCGCGACCGCCGACCGGCCATGTGCGAAAGTTTCTGGGGCTCGGCGCCCCACCGGGCGCGCAGCGGCGCGGTGGGTGGGGCGGCGCGGTCTGCGGGGCTCCCGCCGCCCCCGGGCCCCGCGGAGTGCAGCTTTGCGCGCTCTCACGTTCTCTTTCTCTCTTTGCCTCTTTCCCTCTTTCCCTCCGCGCTGCCTCCCGGAGGTCCTGCCGCCGAGCTCCTGCGCGGGGCATGAGGAGCCCCGGGGCGCCGCCCGGAGAGGACCCGGCTGCGCGCACACCTCGCCAGCGGCGGACGGGGACATGAGCGGCGCGCACGGGGTCCGGCGCTCGGCGGGCAGCCCCAGCCGCCGGCGGCCAGCGGGTCGGCGCTGCCCGGGAGAATGAGGCAGGAGCCCGCGGCAGTCTCCGCTTTCACCTCCTCCTCCTCCTCTTCGCCTTCCTTCGGCTCCGGCGCCCCGGCCCCGGCCGGGCTGTGGCTCTGCTGCGTGCCCCGCGCGCCCCCCGCCCGCCTCCGGATGCGCTGCTCGGTAAGCCAGGCCCTCCGCCTCGGGAACAAAGCCCCTTCGCCGGGCGGGGAGGCCGCCTCTGAGCCCCCTGCCCGGCCCCCCACCGAGAGCCTGGAAGCCTGCGGGGCTCCCGATTGAACCCCTCCGTTTCCTCTACTCCCAACCCCTGCCTGGGAGGCTGAACCGCCCGGGCGTCTTCGAGACCCTGGGCTTCCCTTTGCCATCAGGGAGGCAGATGCGGGCTTGACACGCAGGCAGGAGACCTGTTTGGTCCAGATAAGGATACATGTATCTTGGCTCAGATTGATCTGTGCGGGGAGACTCATTTGTGGAGGGAGACGACTCACATATAGTGACTACGTAATAGGTGTCCAAGCTGTCCTGGGTAGCGTGCCTCGGAAACACCCAGGGAAGTAGGTCCCCCTTCTTCCATGGCTCGGATTTGGAAACTGAGGCCCAGAGAGGTTGAATGACTTCACCAAGGTCACAAGGCCAGACTTCGAGAGACCGGGATTGGAAACCAGGGCCCTCTTTCCGCCAGGCTGACCCCTTTGTAGCAAACACCCTTGTTCCAGTTTTACTAATTGCCTCCTTCTGGGGTCATTTCATGTGTGTGGAAGCGCCTGTGCCTGGGAAGAGCTGCTCGGGTGAAATAAATTGCCCATAGCGTGTATTTTTTTGGTCATTCCTCCATAACGTGGCTGCTAACCCCTCCTGTGAATTGGAAGCATAAGATTACTTCTCTTAGTTAAGGGGGGAGGTTAACATGTTCTCCTCGGTGCTCCCTTTCCTGCGATCCTGTTTCTCTCCGGCCTCTTCAGGGATGCAAAAGGCAGATTTTGGTTCCTTTCTCCAGCCCCTCCTAGGCTCTGCCTGCCAGCACACGCTCAGCCTCGGAAGCCGTGTCCTAAACCTTTCTGTGGGGCGAGGGCTAATCAAGGATACCTGCCCCTGGTTGTGTAGGTCTTGGAGATGGTTACTTCACAAGCGCTGGGGCTGAGCTCAGATGGCCCCCGTTCAGGAGCCGACCCTGTCGGAAACGTTATCTTGGCTCACACTTGCCAACGCTCCCTTGTCAGCCAAACTTCACACTTGCTAGCCCAGAAGAAAGGGGGAGGGCGTTTGATGTAGACGTGGGGCCTTCTGCTGGTGCCCATTTCTCCAGCTTGCAGCTTTTCACTGTTTGCTTGAATGCACTTAGGCCGACCCTGAAGGGAATCACTGGGTCCCGGTCTGAGCGGCTCGTGTACTCCATCGAGTTTCCAAGTGTTGGGCTGGGTGCTTGTCTCCACATGTGTAGTGTTGGTGTCAGTCAGGGAAAGCCCTTAGCAGGAAGGGGCCTCAGTTTCCCGACTCCCAGAGCCGGACTGGATGACCTTTCAGTTCCTTTCCAACTAAACAATCCTGGGATCAGGAGGAGAGTGGGTTACTGGCCTGAGCCAGGCTGCGTGAGCTCATCAGACACATACATTTGGACTAACAGCTCTGCCCTGAATAAGCTGTTGATTTCCAAGAAGAGGACGTGGTCGAAGGGGGAAGCTGCAAGATTCAGGTTCCACGCAAAGGAGGGGAGGTCTGAGCAGTGCTCTGGTGGATGGATTATTTATTGGTCTAAAGCATGGTAGCTATAAAATGTCCCAAGGTGCCAGACTGGGGTTATGGGATAGGTTAGGCTTTTCACTGGGAGAAATGACATCGGCCCCTAGGAACTGATAAAATATAATGCATCAACTAGATGTCCAGTCGGCTAGAAAGTGGCAAGCTGGTGAGCCTGTCCCTTCCGGAAAGAATCTATCATAGTTGAATAGGTAAAGTCTGCTCATGTAAATAAAGTGATTTTTAGAATCCCCCCCGCCCCGCCGTTGTTTGCTGGTTATATTAGTGACAGGTGCAGCCCACCGAAGCAGAGACACAGAGGAACTGTGACAAAAAAGGTGGCCATAAGAATGTTTAGACCCTGACTTGCTCTTTGCCTGTTGCAGCTAAATCCATCAACTTGACCTATGGGCCTTTAATGGTGTTGTCATAGGTCTTTTAAGATGTGGATTAATGAACGTTTTAAAGTATTACTGAATCCCAAGTGAAATGGGCATGCGTCACCTTAGTTTTCCCAGAAAACTAAGCCCCCAGCGGGTTTTGTGACTGCTTGAAATTCACAAAACCAGAGCAAAGCTTTCATTTTGGCAAGCTCACTGGGTCTGCAAACAGCAAGTAATGCATCTCATGTGGGCATATTAATCTCCCCGCATTGGGTGTTGTGTATTTCAGCTTGTTTTGGTTAACTGGTCAGGTTTTGTATAAAAACGAATGCAGAGAAACAATCTTTGTTGAGTTACTTTTGAAAATGATAATGTAATTATGAAAGAACAATTTTTATGTCGTATATCATACTACTGATATCCAAAGCCAGATTACACAGTAAAACATTACTCCCGTGCCTGATCATTTAGTTTTTAATTCATCAGTTCTTTCCCATTTTTTGTCCCCCCCCACCCCCATCATGAAAATGTGTAATCAAGAATAAATTCTCCCTTTTCAATTTTGGGTTTGTTTTAAACCCACCTCTTTTTGGGAGATCTCTAAAGCTGAGCTCATACGCACCATACATATAGTGGCCTTGTGTACAAATATATTTTGGGTGCCTTCAGTTTCTTTTGGGATAACAGGACGGGTTTGTATCACAAATACATAACAACAATGAGGTGTTCCCTTGTTGGCATCCCATCTCTGAATCGGGAGTCTAGACCATGAAGTCTTGCTTGGAGCTGACATGCCCAGCATCCTGAGAACCGGGGGGCTGCCGGGGTTTGTGCAACATTAAGGTTGTACGAAGGTACTTATGGGACGTAGATGAAAGGAACATCTCCAGAGGCTGGGAAGCGTGGGATTTGTTCCTGACTCTGTTGTTCATTGGCTCTGTGACTTTGGACAAGTTATTCCTGTTCTCTAGGCGTCAGTGGGCATACCTGCAGCAAGTGTGCCCGTGTGTGTGTGTGTGTGTGTGTGTATTAGTAAAAGGTGATCTCTCCAATTCTAAGCTTGAAGAGTCCTCGGCTTGGGATGCAGCTGGTTATTAATAGCTCCGGAATGTTCCGTACTTTAAGATTACATAACATTTTCAATTAGACATCCATATAAACAGTAAGGAGAGCCGGTCATTATAAAACATGCTCTTTATTACCCTAAGTGGGGACTCTGCCCTGAACGTGTGATGATGGGGCTTTCATCCTAAAGGTGATTATGCCGGTGTCCCCGGCACGGTGGAGTCTTGGCACGCATCCAGGAGGGCTAGGGTGAACTGTGACACTCTCTAGGGTCCATGTGGCTGGAGCCACAGGAGCTTGTATGTAATTTGGGTCATTGATGTGGGAAGAACATGACGTTCTATGTGTGCAACTTGAGGTCCTGGGGACTCTGAGGCTCTGTCGCCATCTCAGGCTGTTCCTGGAAGGTAAGGAGGGGAAGTATGTAATTACTGTTTGCAGTTGTTTTGAAAATGGAAAGTACTTTAATTAGAGCCTTGAACTCAGCCGAAGCTGAAAGATGGTGAAGAGTCCGTAGATTTGGCAGTGGTGTTTTGTCAGGCTCTCTGTGCGGGCTTCCTTGTAACACTTGAAGTCGTCTCGTTGTCTGAGGTCAGGCTCCCTCGCTGAGCCTCAGTCACGGGCAGATACGGAGGGTCGGGAGAGGACAGCGGCAGGGAAGGGAACCAGCAGTCCTTAAACACGCCGTCTTCTTTGCAGAGGAGATGTCACCAGCCTCCCGTTCTAGATGAGGAGCCCGGGGGCTTGAGAGCGTGTTGCTCAGACCTGCATAGTTAGTGAATGGCAAAGCCACACAGGATTTCGAATTAAGTCACCCGCGCCACACCTCATTGCCACCGTCACTGCGATGTGCCCGGCAACCAAATTGTGTCCTTTCATCCCAGATTTCTAAACAGCACCCTGGCACCGAGAAAGCAGGCGGGAGATTTGACGCGGGTGACCTGTGGGGGTGATCTGACTATCCCGAGGATTTTGAATTTGCTGGGATTTTTGTTAGGACGTTGGATTTCTTTTAACTCTGTGCCAGAGGTATTAGATTCCGGAGGTGTTCCGAAATAAGTCAAGGGTTCCCCAAAAAGGGTTAGTGTTCGTAGTTCTTCTGGGGAGGCTAAAATAACTCCTCTAGGTCTCGTGTCACCCTGGGCTCTAGGTCCCGTGTCACCCTGGGGTGCTGTGGGAAGTGGGCGCACCCTGGCACTTGGGACATTTTGGAAGGCATTGCTAGCCTGCACCTCCTAAAAGGGCCTCAGAATCACAGTTATGTAACAAGCTTTCCAAAGGAGTGTGACTGCACCTCCAAGATGCCCCACGGGTTAATCCTCCCTAAACAACAAGCCAGAAGGAAATAGGAGGAACATAGACCAGAATTTCAAGGTTCAGCTGTAGCTTTTAAGAATTTCCAGGACTAGGGCACCTGGGTGGCTCAGTCAGTTAAACATCTGCCTTCAGCTCAGGTCATGATCTCCGGGTCCTGGGATCGAGCACCACATCGGGCTTTCTGCTCAGTGGGGAGTTTACTTCTCTCTGTCTGTCTCTTCCCCCTCCCCCCCTCATTCTCTCTCTCTCTCAAATAAATAAACTCTTTTTTTTTTTTTTAAAGATTTTATTTATATATTTGACAGAGAGAGAGCGAGAGCAGTAACACAAGCAGGGGGAATGGGAGAGGGAGAAGCAGGCTTCTTGCCGAGCAGGGAGCCCGATGTGGGACTTGATCCCAGGACCCTGGGATCATGACCTGAGCCGAAGGCAGACGCTTAACGACTGAGCCACCCAGGCGCCCAAATAAATAAACTCTTAAAAAAAAAAAAGAATTTTCAGGACTTGGAGGAAATGCATGTTTTGAAGAACTTTTCAAGCCACTGCATAGAGATGCCATCATCATGGGCTTTGCCAGTGGTCAGCGGAGGTCCACGCACAGGCGTTGAGCTCCTGCTATTGTTTGCTGATCGGCCTGCAGATCTGGATGAGTGGCATCCA